ATGTTCTTGATGGATCTGGAAATATCTGTGTCTAGTGTAAATTCTTTCCATTGTATTGTTGTTATGTTGGTTGTTGTTAGGTCTTTGAGGTATATGGTGTGTTGGCTGCTTCTTCCCTCTTTTGCTTCTTGATCTGCTTTATCATTCATGGTGTCATTGTTGTGTGCCTTGACTTTAATAATGGTTGTGTTGCCTGTTCTCCTATTGATCTGTGATTGAATTTGAGCAACTGTAAGGTAGTTAGGTTGCTTCATTTGTATTGTTTTGCTTTTGCCATTTTTTATTGTGTGTATAGCATTGCTACTGTCTGTATGGATGTTGACATTGGCTATTGTTGGGATGAGTTCGATTGCTATGAGGATTGCCATCAATTCTGCTTTTGTGGAGGATGGAAAGTATTCACATCTGGTATTAAATGTTATTTTTTGTCCTGTGTTTCTGTTTTGTATAATGATGCCTATACCCATTTTCACATTGTTGTCATCTGTTGGATCCATAGACCATTTGTATACAAGTTGATATTATCCCATAGTTCTGTAAGCCTCTTTATTTCTTTGATCTTTTCTTTTCCTGTTTGGTTTGCTGTGATAGGGCTGCTGTTTCTGTTGTTGTCTATTGTTATTATTGGTAGATCTGTTTATTGTTTGTTGATCTCTCTGATGTATGTGAGGTTGTTGTATATTGAATTGGAGGATTGCTGTATATGCATTAGTAGACCTGTTATGTAGCTGTGGATTTTGGAGCTGTTGCTTGTTTTCTTGGCTGGGAATGGGATGCATTCATTTGCTGCTAGTTTTCTGGAGCATCCTGTTTTGCTGCCTTGTGTATTTAAGTTGCATCCTGTAACAATACTGATGGATACTGCACTACAGGACCCATACTGCGCCCTGTGAACTGGATGTCCCAGAAGGTATCTGATCTGCCCCTGATGACCTGCAAGTCTGAGACATGTTCCCAGACGACTGTCAGACACATGTATGATGTGATTCTGACCCTTGACAATGTGACATGCCACCAAGCACCACTAATTAATTACTATGAGTTAATATAATCAAATTAGGAGCATAAGGCCATAGAGTGTGTATATCTTTTTCCTTTTATTTCTTTCTATTTACCTTTTCATTTTATTATGTTAATTAAGTACATATGTCTCCGGAGGTTAAGCCCAATATTTTTTTTTTCCATCTAATCAGGCTGTATATTCAAGTTTATTATCCAACTTAATAGTCATTCTACCCTAGTACAAATGTTACAAATATGTAAACGTACATATACTACTGGTTAAACTTATTTACTTATACAGCACA